CTCAGCTACTGAGGAAGCATGAGCAGATGAGTAGTGAGCTCATGAAAGCTCGAGAAGATGTTGGTGTCATGAAGGATGAGGCTGAGAAAATGAAGCTCGAGCTTGAAAATATTCATAGGGATTATAAAGGGAGGCTGGTTCAAGCTCGGGTGGGTGCAATCGAGGAGTTCAAGAAGTCTGGCATCTTTAATGAGCTCAAGGGCGAATACACAATGGGCTCGTACTTTCATGCCTTGAAAGAGGCTCGAGCATTCATCCGCGCGAAGCCAGACGCAATGCCCGAGGACTTAAAGACTATCCCATAAGTGGCTGAGAACCTCGCCCTCTCCAAGTCGGAGGAGAATGTTGATGATGAGGAGATCGATATCGAGGGTGACGACGTCGAGGTAGACCAGCCCAGCCAGAATATTGAGGACTAGGCTTCTTAATGATTTGTATTGATCGTGATGACATTTGTTTTTGTGTTTTGGGAAAATTCAAGTATTTTGCTCGATCCTATTTGATGTTACATTTATCGATGTTTTTCCAAGGTATGAAGTGTATGGGTGATGTCTTTGGCATCTTGACTATCAGGACAAATTAAATAGCTCGATGCCTAAGATGAATTAATAATTCGATGCCTAAGATGAATTAAACAGCTCAACGCCTAAGATGACTTGATATCTCGATGTCCTAGATAAATTAAATAACTCGACGCCTAAGATGAATTGATATCTCGACGCCCAAGATGAATTAATAACTTCGACGCCTAAGATGAATTGATATCTCTACGTCATAGATAAATTAATAACTCAATGCCTAGATGAATTGATATCTCGACGCCTAAGATAAACTGGTAAACTGCTTAAAAATCTGGATGACTTAATCCATAGAAGTTTCAGACAAAGGTAGTAACTCGATCTTAAGGTCATCCCTTAATAGGGAAATTATCTCAAGGACTAAATGACAATGAAATTGTCTTGACCTATAGCTTGATTCCCGAGGACAAGGATGGGCATTTTTATAAGATTCATCACATCGTTGATTGGTCACTGTGTGCTCGGGAATTTTACTTGTATTGTTTGCCCTAATAACAATCTCTATGTGTTTGCTCAGGGGCAAGGTTTTTTGATTGCTTGCTCGGGGCAAGGCTTTTTGATTGTTTGCATGGGGTAAGGCTTTTTGATTGCTTGCGCAGGGTAAGGCTTTTTGATTTGCTTGCTCGGGGCAAGGCTTTTTGATTGCTTGCGCGGGGCAAGGCTCAAGGTTTGAGTTGCTTACGCGGGGCAAGGCTTTAGTTGCTTGCATGGGGTAAGGCTTTTAGTAGTGAGATCACATTTTGATTAATAGCTTAATTCTTATTATACTTTAAAAATAGACTTAGCACGCAGGCCTGACTACCGAAAAATAAAACTTGGCACGCAGGCCTGAGAACTAAAAACGTGAACCTTGACATGTAGGCTTGACTACTGAAAACTGGAAGAACAAGTTACTTGTAATATATTTTTAAATTCTCAACGTTCCATGGTCTTGGAAGTGGTCTTCCTGATGTATCCCTTAAACTGTACGCACCTCCTTGAAGCTATCGTATGACTTCGAAGAGCCCTTCCTAAACTGGTCCTAGCTTGCCAGGAGCATGACCCGTTGCTTCGGCCCTTCTTAACACAATGTCTCCGGCTCTGAATCTTCACGTCCTCACTTTTTTATTGAAATACTTTGCTATTTTATCTTGGTAAGAGGCCATTCTTAGAGCTGCCTGATCACGAACTTCTTCTAAGAGGTCGAGGTGTTCAGTAGTGCATCCTGCACCTTCGGGCTCAAGCCTTCTTTGACTAGGCAACCTGACTTCAACAGGGATGGTGGCCTTACTACTGAAAGCCAACATGAAGGGGGTTTTCCCCGTAGCGGTTCTATGGGATGTTCTACATGTCCAAAGTATGGAAGGTAACTCGTCGGACCAGGAACCTCTTGCATCTCCAATCCTTGTACGTATGTCTTGCAATATAATCCGATTGGTCACTTTAGTAAGACCTTACTTTGATGATGGGAAACTGATGTCAAACGGTGATCAACCCCTAGGTTGGAATAGAAGTTTTTAAATTGTGCATTGTTAAACTGCCTGCCATTATCAGTTATGAGGACTTTCGGTATCCCGAACCTGCAAATGATGGACCTCCAAATGAAAGTTCTCAACTTAGGCTCTGAAATTGTTGCTAAAGGCTCGGCCTCCACCCACTTAGTGAAATACTCTACAGCCACAGCCACAGCATAGCCACAAACTTCAATTACCCCCTAGTTATTGGAAAGGGACCAAGGATGTCAATTCTCCACTATTCAAATGGGGTCGTGCAACTAATGCTAGTGAGATCCTCTGCGGGAGAGTGGATGATATTGCCAAATCTCTAGCACTTGTCACACTTCTTGACATATTCCTGGGCGTCTTTCTTCATGGTAGGCCAATAATATCCATACCTTATGAGCTTGAAGGCTAATGCCCGAGCTCCTTGATGGTTCCCACATATTCCTTCATGAACTTCTTCTAAGGCTTGGGATGATTCGAAAGGCTTAAGGCATCTTAGGTATGGAAGTGTGAGGCTCTTGCGAAATAGAACTCCTTCGATCATGTAATACCTTGGAACTTTGGACCAGATGCTTCTTGCTGCTTGAGGATCTTCTAGAAGATTGCCATGTTTTATGGAGTCCACTATTGGATCCATCCACGATGGCTCATTATCAATATCCATGATGCCTACGGTCTGATTGATCCATGGCTCGGTTACAATTCTAACGTAGACTATTCTGTCAAGCCCATCTATCCTTATGAACACCAATCTTGACAAGGCATCGGCTTTACAATTCTCAGCCCGAGCAATTTTCACAATTTCACAACTTTTGAATTTTCTTTGGAGATCATGCACTTTCAAGCAGTATAAGCTCATCTTCACATCTTTCCTATCTAATGTCCCTTCAATTTGTCCAACCGCCAACTGGGAATCACTGTAAATTTTGATGTTTTCAATCTTGAGATTGATGGCAAGTTCCATGGCTATGATGACGGCCTCATACTCTACTTCATTATTGGTTACCTCAAATTCGAACCTAAGTGCACACTAAATGTCTATGAGTGTGTCCGGGCTTATCATTATGACCCCTGCACCCGAGCTCGAGGAGTTTGATGCTCCATCTATGAAAATTTGCCACACGCCTATGGAAGAGCTCGAGCTACCATCTGGCCCCCAAGGCCTTGGGGTGAGTTCTGCAATGAAGTCAGCTAAGGCCTGAGCTTTGATAGATGGATGGGGCTTGAACTCTATGTCAAATTCTTCGAATTCAATTGCCCACTTCAGTAATTTTCCTGAGATGTCTAGTTTCTGAAGAATATGTTTTAGAGGCTGATTCGTGAGCACTACAATAGGATGTGATTGAAAATATTGCCAAAGCTTTCGTGCTGCAACTATCAGTGCAAGGGCAAGCTGTTCTGCCAAAGTGTATCTTGTTTCTGCATCAAATAGGACTTTACTTACGTAATAAATGGGTTGCTGGGCCTGTTAACCTCTTTCACCAAGATACCACTTACTGCATTCTAAGATATGGCTAAGTATAAATACAAAGTATCCCCGGGATCGGGTTTGTTGAGGATAGGAGAAGATTCTAATGTCTGCTTGAGCTCCTGAAAAGCCTAAGCAATGATTACCCCTTATGGCTTTGAAGAAGGGGAAGCACATGTCTGCTGCTCGGGACATGACCTTGTTTAAGGTGGCTACTCTGCCTGTCAACTTTTGAACTTCTTTATTGGTCCTTGGTGATTCCATTGTTGCCAAAGCCTGAATCTTATCGAGGTTGGCCTCAATTCTTCGATAAGTGATCACGAAACCCAAAAACTTTCCCAAAGCTACGCCGAATACACACTTCTCTGGGTTGAGCTTCATCTTATTTTTTCGTAGGGTGACGAACACCTCCTCTAGGTTGGATATGTGTTGCTCTACTTTCTTACTCTTGACAACCATGTCATCCACATAGGCCTTGATGTTCTTCCATATCAAATTGGTGAAGACTTTGTTAATGAGCCTCTGATATGTCATGCCAGCATTTTTTAACCCAAATGGCATCACTCTATAGCAATATATGGTTGAATCAGCCATTTCTTGGTCTTCTTTGGCCATGAGGATTTGATGATACCCTGTGAATGCATCTAAGAAGCTATACAGCTTATGTTCGGATGTGCTATCCACAAGATTATCAATCCTGGGTAGCGGGTATCTATCTTTAGGGCACGCCTTATTGAGATCTGTGAAATCGATGCAGACCCTCCATTTACCACTGGCCTTCTTTACAAGAACAACATTAGCAAGCCAATTGGGGTATTGGACTTCCCTTATGAACCCCGCTCTCACTAGTTTGCTGACCTCTTCCTGAATGACTACACGTCTTCTGGCGCAAACTACCTCTTCCTTTGCTTAACAGGTTTTGCCCCTGGGCTTATATTGAGTCTATGGACTGCTACTTCAGGGTCTATCCCTGGCATATCCTTGACCTTCCATGCGAAAACATCGATGTTGCAGGACAGACAATTGATGACTTCCTCTCGGAGGCTGGCCTTCAGATGCCGACCAATAGTCACCGTTTTCCGTGCTCGAACTCGACCACTTTCAATTCCTCAATGGGGGCCAATCTATTCCTTGGCTCAAGCTCGAGCTTGAGGTCTGAAAGTTGCATGATGTTTGTACTCATTCCTCGAATGCTAGTAACATAGCACTGTCTGGCAGCTGTTTGGTCTCCTCGAACTACTCCGATGCCATGGCCTGTGGAGAACTTCATGGCCAGGTGGAAAGTTGATACAATAGCTTGGATCTTGTTCAGTAGGGGTCTTCCCAGAATGATGTTATAAGCCATTGGGATACTAACCACTTGGAATGGTGTGATCTCCGACACTTGTGTATTACCAAAACCTAATGTAAGTGGGAGCTCGACGATGCCCTCAAGGATAATGACTCCACCACCAAATCCCTGTAGAGGAGTTTTCACTGCTTTGAGCTGTTTGGGAGAGACCCCATTTCGGCGAAAGCTTCCTGCGAGAGTATATTTGCTGCACTCCCATTATCAACGAGAATCCTATTAACTTCAAAGTTAGCCACAATTACAGAGAAGACCAAGGCATCGTCATGAGGATATGATATTCCTTCCAAATCTCTTGCTCCAAAAGTGATGTCTTTATCTTCATCACGGGATTCTCTTGGGGTATGAGCATGCTGGCGGGCATATTGCTTTCGCCTACTATTTGTGTCTCCTCCAGATGCTATGCCCCCAACGATAATATTAATGGTCCCGGCAGTGGGTTGAGCACTGCTTCCGGCTCTAGGCTCTTTCCGATTGTCACGGTCATTCCTCGAGCGTTTATCATGACTAATGTAATTCTTTAAAAATCCTCTTTTGATAAGAAATTCAATTTCTCGCTGTAAAGCATGACAATCCTCTGTGGTATGCCCATGATTTTAGTGAAATTCGCAATACTTACTCTTATCTCTTGTGTCAAGGGTCGACTTTACCTTGAAGGCCACTTTAATTTTTTCATATCCTTAATCTCCATCAAGATGTTTGTCTTAGAGGTGTTTAACCGAGTGAGAGGTGCTGACGGCGCCTCATTCCTGTGCTTATCCTGAGGAAGCTCGTGCCGAGGAATGGGATCATGTTGCCTCTTATTTTCGACCTTTTCATGAGAATGACTAGCTCTCCTTAGATTCAATGTTTCCTCCATATTAATGTACTTTTCTACTCGGTTAAGGAGCTCGGTCACTGTCTGTGGTAGGGTCTTTGATAAAGACATTTTGAAAACCTCACACCTTATGGCATAGGTGAGGGCAGAAACTATTGCTGTAATGTGAAGGTTGGGTATTTGAAGTCTTTTCTCGTTAAATCTTGTCATAAAACCTCATAGGGTTTCATTCGGTCCTTGGCGCAATTGCATGAGAGAGGCCGCAATCTTCCTGATTCACTTGCTACTTGCAAAGAAGACTGAGAACTTATCAGCCAAATCTGAGAATGAGCCTATGGAGTTGGGCTCCAATGTCGAGAACCAATCCCTAGCAGCATTAGTCAGCATTTGTGGAAAGGCTTTGCACATAACATGATCCGGCACAACTTGCAACTTCATGACATCAGAATATACATTGAGATGGTTGATGGGGTCGGTCGTCCCATCATACTATTTAATGCGAGGATATTTGAATCTGTCGGGCAAAGGATATGACAATATCTCTGGCGTGAATAGAGTGTTAGGGGTGAAACTCGTTGGCCCCCGAGCATTCCATTGCAGGCCAGCTGTAATTCCTTCTTGAATGATCCGAGCAATTTCACCGAAATCCATGGCAATCGATCTCGAGCACGAGGCCATATTGTGAATACCTGAGGTTCCTACTTTGCCAATTGCGGGGTTTGGTAGTCGTGCTCGAGCATCAGCCATAAAACCGCCATGCTCTGCCTGCGCTGACGATGGATGTGAATTTCCTTGACTTAGCAGTTGCGTGAGCGTGGCCACCTACTAACGGAGCTCTTCAAAGGCTTTGGTTGTGATAACCACTGGTAGATGTGCGGGCACTTCTGACGATTTTTCATGATAAGCCGATTGATCTTTGGCAGGATGAACGATGGGAGCTGATGAGCTTGCGGGAGGAAGACCTGATCGTGTGTTAACCATGGCTTTTGGTAGCGCTTCCCACAAACGGCACCAATGATGTTACCAAAAATCGTGCCTGTTGATTTCCTGAGCTTGATGATTTTGATTGAGCACGATCGTAGTCTTTCGGTACTTGAAACAAAGGCAACGAGGTATGTTCTCGTTGCCCCTTCGATGCTTAAGTCAGAAAGGGAATTATATGCTTGAGGCTATAAACTGTAGAATAATGAGAAAACGTACCTGAATAATGACCCATGGTTCTGTATTTATAGTAGGGGGTGACATTCTCCTAGTAGGACTCAATTATCTGGGAATCCTTATCCGATAGGGCCCCATGAGAAAGCAGCATTTGAATTGTACTGTGATTAGAAGACCGATTATTAAAAGGAATCTCTTGGATTTAGAAGATGTGGATTGAGGTATTTGTGTCAGATAAGAGTTCTCAGGGGACATACCTCCTTAGTGCGAGGAAGATGGTAGTTGAGAACCTGCCTCTGATTTTCCTGAGGACATATTCTCGAGGACATCCTATATTTGTGAGAGTTGGTTAAAACGTTAAGCTCGAGCAAGGATTCCCCGAGGACTTACTGAATCCCGAGCACTCATGACCGTATATCGTAAAAAAAGTTAGCTGTAATCGTCGAGATAATAAGGTACTCGGGTTAGGTGGGAAATGTTAGTATCACTACCAAAATAGAAACAATGAAATCTAGATGGAAGACACCCAGAACACTTAACTAAGTTTTGCCAACGAAATTGAGAGCTTGAAGAAATAGGTTTGCAAAAATAAAAGGACTACGAGGAGGCATTGCCTTCATTAGGCGAAGCCTACAGGATCTGGGTCATGAAATTATTTGCACCATAGATGAGAAGGTATCTTGGCCCTTCATAATGGAAAAAGGCAGGACTACAGAAATTGTATGGCAGCCAAAATCCTCTACACTCCACACTCGCACTTCACACATTCACTGAATGACGACTGTGCCATAATTGCTGCTTTTCGTAATTTGAAATGGCCGCAACTATGATTAAAGATCTAATCAAGATGCATGACCGTATGCCTTCTCGAAATCATACAACCTTCCCAACATATTTCGTACTTCACCGTCGGAAAACTGCCACTTGGATGGCTTGTTATGTCAAAATAGACTTATACCCCTATCTAAAGTTATTCACCTGAAAAGAATATTTAGACTTGGCCTTGGAGAATTATTTTTTATATTTTACATCAAGGCCCTCGTCTTATAGCTTAGCAAAAACATGAACCCCAATACGTAAAGATTGAGTGATGATGTTCTGATTTACCCAAATCACACATCTGTAGTGAATTTCACACACATTTGAGTGAAGAAAGTCAAGAAAATTACCCATATGGTCAAGCAAAGATTGTTGTCTAAGATGAATATTAGACTTGAAATTGGGAGACTATTGTTATATCCTAAATCCAGTGAAGGCACTCATAGGTACCAACATGGCAAAGAAGCCATATAGGCTTCCAGCAAAGGGGCACTTGGCAAATCCGCTCATCCGCCACCTCTATTGCTTGGACCCTTCAAAATAGTCAAAGTACCCATATCAGACACGACACAACATGAGTATTGATATTGTCGAAATATTTTATTGACCCCAAAGACTTGAAATGGGCCACTCTCACCATTCTACAACTATGATGCTCGAGTATCCACATTGCTTGGGATACTTTCATGACCCGAGCTATTCCATTCCGTATTGGCAACATTCGGTGGAATCATCCTCGGTCTATATCCTCGGGCCTATGATCGCACCATAGCATTGATGTCCTCAAGCAATTCGCTACGTCTCATGCACTGTCACGCTTAACTTTAGAAGAATCCAACCCTCAAAGGACTCTAGCTTGCCTCAAACTTCTTAATCCAGGACTTTCATACCAAGTAGAATTCTATCTCAGGGATATTAGCATGACGATTGAGATTGAAGCCATGGTAAATTTTCAACACCCGGGCCAAGTGGGACTCTTTCGAATAAGAACATCCAACTAACCTAATCCTATAAGGAAAGAACCACTCATCCTTATAAATACGAGGCTCTATCCCATTATTCAGGTACATTTTCATTATTTTCGATTTATAGCCTCACGCACAAATTCTCTTTTTGACTTAAGCATTGGAGGGACAACGAGAACACACAGCGTTGCCTTTGTTTCAGGTACTGGAGGACTATGATCATGCCCATTCATTGTCCTCAAGCTCGAAAAATCAACATGTACAGATTTTTGGAGGACTACAATCATGCCCATTCATTGTCCTCAAGCTCATAAAATCAACAGGTGCATATTTTTGGTAGTATCATTTGCACCGTCTGGGAAAATCGCTACCAAAGGCCATGGTTAACATGCAATCAGATCTTCCTCTAGCGAGCTCATCCCCTCCCAACCCTCATCCTCCTGAAGGTCAACCTGCTCCTCAAGAAAAGTCGTCAGAAATACCCGCGCCCCAGCCAGGGGTCATCGCGACAGGAGCCTTTAAGGAGCTCCGTCAACAGGTGGCTACACTAACTCAACTGTTGAGTCAAAGAAATTCCCATATGTCACATACGTTAGCAGATCATGGTGGTTTTATGAATGATGCTCGAGCCCAAAAAACAAACCTTGCAACTGGTGATGGAGGAGTAGGAACCTCGGGTGCTCGTAATATAGCCTCGGGCTCAAGATCGATGACCATAAATTTCGGTGAAATTACCCGAATTATTCAAGAAGGTATTACAGTTGGGTTGTTCTGAAATTTTCGTATCCTCTACCCAACAGATTCGAGTATCCTCGCATTAAAGCGTATGATGGGACGACCAACCCAATCGATCATCTCAATCTGTATACTGGTGTGATGAATTTATAGGCTGACCAAGTGATGTGCAAAGCCTTCCTATAAACTTTGACTAATGCTACCAGGGATTGGTTCTCAACATTGGAGCCTTATTCCATAGCCTCATTCTCAGACTTGGCCGATAAATTCTTAGCCTTTTTTTGCAAGTAGAAAGCGCATCAGGAAGACTGCGGCCTCTCTCATGTAACTTCGCTAAGGGCTGAATGCAACCCTACGTGGTTTTATGACAAGATTCAACAAGGAAAGACTTCAAATACATGACCTCCACATTACAGCAGTTTTCTCCGTCCTCACCTATGCCATAAGGTGTGAGGCCTTCAAAATGTCCTTATCAAAGACCTCATCGCAAATAGTGATTGAGCTCCTTACCCAAGCTAAAAAGTACATTAATATGGAGGAAACGCTGAATCCAAGGAGGGTTGGTCCACCTCATGAAAAGGTCGAGAGCAAGAGGTAACATGACCCGATTCCTCGGTAAGAGCATCCTCGGGATAAGCGCAGGAATGAAGTGCCACCACGCCTCTCACCCGATTGAACACCTCCAAGGTAAATATCTTGATGGAGATCAATGATATGAAAGAACTGAAGTGGCCTGCAAGTATGAAGTCGTCCCCTGACAATAGAGATAGGAGCAAATACTGTGAGTTCCACCGAGATCATGGGCATACCACGGAGGATTGTAAAGCCCTGCAGCAGGAGATTGAAGCCCTTATTAAAAGAGGGTTCCTAAGTAATTACGTTGGTCATGATAAATGCCCAAGGAATGATTATGATAAGCGGAAGGAGTTTGGAGCTGAAAGCTATGGACAACCCATGACAGGGACTATTAATATCATCATTGGAGGCATAACATCTGAGAAAGACACAAATAGTGTGTGGAAGCAGTGTGCCCAACAATGTGCTCATGCTTCGAAGGAATTCCATTATAAACTTGAGCACATTACTTTTAGGTCAAGGGATTTGGAAGGAGTATCATATCTTCACGATGATGCCTTGGTTATCTCTGCAATTGTAGCTAACTTTGAAGTGAAGAATATACTGATTGACAATGGGAGTGCAGCAAACATACTCTCTCATGACACTTTCACCAAGATGGGGATCTCGGCCATCCAGCTCAAGGCAGTTAGAACTCTTCTTCAGGGTTTTGGTGATGGAGTCATTATACTACAAGGCATCGTTGAGTTTCCACTTATATTGGGTTCTGATAAAGCATAGGTGATCGAGATAACGCCCTTCCAGGTAGTTAACACTCCTATGGCTTACAATGTCATCCTGGAAAGGCCTTTGCTCAACAAAATACAAGCCAATGTGTCAATTTTCCACCTTGCCATGAAGTTTCCAACAGGTCTTGGCATCGGAGTAGTACGAGAGACCAGGTCGCAGCAAGATAGTGCTATATTACTAGCATCTGAAGAATAAGTGCCGATGTCATGCAACTTTCATTGCCAGACTTCGAGCTAGAGATCGAGCCTACGAGTAGGCTTACTCCAGTTGAGGAATTGGAGGTGCTCAAGCTCGAGCATAGGAAAAAGTTGACGATTGGTCGGGATCTCAGACCCAGCCTCAAGGTGAAAGTTGACGATTATTTATCCCGCAAAATTGATGTTTTTGCTTGGAAGGTTGAGGATATGCCAGGGATGGACCTTGAGATCGTAGTCCATAAACTCAACATTAGTCCAGCGACTAGACTTTTTAAGTAGAAGAAGAGGCAATTTGCATCAAAAAGGCAAGAGGTCATTCGAGAAGAGGTTAGAAAACTCGTCAGAGCCGGGTTTATACAGGAGGTCCAATATCCCTATTGCCTGGCAAATGTTGCCCTTGTGAAGAAGGCTAGTGGAAAATGGAGAATCTGTATTGATTTTCTAGACCTCAACAAGGCATGTCCTAAGGATAGTTATCTGCTCCCTCGGATTGACAGCCTCGTGGACAGTACATCGGGACATAAGTTGTACAACTTCTTTGATGCATTCTCAGGGTATCATCAAATTCGTATGGCCGAGGAAGACCAGGAGAAGACGTCCTTCATGGCTACTGTTACAAAGTTATGTCATTTGGGTTGAAGAATGCTGGGATGACACATCAGAGATTTGTTAACAAAAGCTTTGCTAATTTGATAGAAAAAATATTGAAGCCTACGTTGATGACATGGTGGTAAAGAGCAAGAAGGTAGAGCAACACATATCCGACCTCGAAGAGGTGTTTGCCACCCTACAAAAATATAAGATGAAGCTCAACCTAGAGAAGTGTGTATTTGGTGTAGCTTCGGGAAAATTTTTAGGTTTCATGATCACTCACCGGGGGACTGAGGTAATAAGATTCAAACCTTAGCAGCAATGGAATCACCAAGGAGCAAGAAAGAGGTTCAGAAGTTGACTAGTCGCATCGTTGCCCTTAACAGGTTTATGTCTTGAGCAGCAGACAGATGCTTTCCATTATTCAATGCTTCAAATGAAATGAGGAGTGTGAAAAGGCTTTTCAAGAGCTCATGTAGACGTTGGCATCACCCTCAGAATTTGAGCCCAAAGATACTTTATTTCTAAACTTGGCTGTTTCTCAGAATGCCATGAGTGGTGAGAGAGGTCAATAAGATCCAATAGCCCATCTATTATGTGAGTGTCTTGCTGATACAGAGACAAGGTACACATTGGTCAAACAACTTACCCTTACATTGATAGTAGCAGCACAAAACTTTGACAATATTTTCAATCACATCCTATTTTGGTGCTCACTAATCAGTCCCTCAAGTATATCCTTCAAAAGCTGGACATCTCAGGCAGGTTACTGAAGTGGGCAATTGAACTTGGAGAATTTGACATCGTGTTCAAACCCCGACCATCTATTAAAGCACAGGCCTTAGTTGATTTCATTACAGAACTCACCCTAAGGCCTCGAGGGCCAGAGGATATCCCAAGCATCGTAGCAGACACATGGCATATTTTTGTTGATAAAGCATCAAACTCCTTGGGCTCGAGTGCTAGGGTTATTATCATAAGTCCAGACATGCTCACGGACATTCATTGTACACTCAGGTTCAAATTTGAGGCAACCAATAATGAAGCAGAATATGAGGCCATCATCATGGCTATCGAACTCACCATCAATCTTGAACTTGAAAACATCAAAATTTTTAGTGATTCCTAGCTAGTGGTTGGACAGATTTAAGGTACATTCATGATGAAAGACAAGAAAATGAGCTTATACTACTTGAAAGTTCATGACCTCCAACGAAAGTTCAAGAGTTGTGAAATTGTGAAGATTGCCCGAGCTGAGAACTGTAAGGCTGATGCCCTGTCAAGGTTGTTTTTCATGGGGATAGATAGGCTTCACAGAATAGTCTACGTCAGAATTGCGAACGAGCCTAGCATCAATCGAACCATTGGCATCATGGACATTGACATGAGTCATCACGGATGGACCCAATAGTGGACTTTATTGTAAATGACAATCTCCCAAAAGATCCTCGTGCAGTGAGGAGCATCCGATCAAAAGCCCCAAAGTACTGCATGATTGAAAGAGTCTTATTTCACAGAAGCCTCACATTTCCATACCTTAAGTGCCTTAAACCCTCGCAGTCATCCCAGGCCCCAGCTAAATTTCATGAAGGAGTATGCAGGAACCATTAAAGAGCTCGGGCATTGGCCTTTAAGCTCATAAGGTATGGCTATAATTGCCTACCATGAAGAAAGACACCTTGGAATATGTCAAGAAGTGTGACAAGTGCTAGAGGTTTGACAATGTCATCCACACTTCTACAGAGGACCTCATTAACATTAGTTGCTCGGCCCCGTTTGAGCAATGGGGTACTAACATCCTTGGCCCCTTTCCAATAATAAGGGGACAACTAAAGTTCCTAGCTATCGCAATGGAATATTTTACCAAATGATGTGGAGGCCGAGCCTTTAGCAACAATATCAGAACCTAATTAAGAACTTTCATTTGGAGGTCTATCATCTGCAGTTTCGGGATACCAAGTCCTCATAACTGATAATGGCAGACAATTTGATAATGCGCAATTCAAGGGGTTTGTATCCAACCTAGGGATTGATCACCTTTTGACAACAGTTTCCCATCCTCAAAGTAACAATCGATTTCTCTACAAGACCTCCGAACTAGGATTAGTGATGCTCGGGGTTCCTGGTCAGACGAGTTACCTTCCATACTTTGGGCATATAGAACATCCCACAGGACCACTACAAGGGAGACCCCCTTCATGTTAGTTTTCTGTATTGAAGCTACCATCCCTATTGAAATCAGGTTGCCCAGACAAAGAAGACTTTAGCCTGAAGAAGCAGGACTCACCACTAAATATCTCGACCTCCTAGAAGAAGTTTGTGATCAGTCGGCCATAAGAATGGCCTATTACCAGGATAGAACAACGAGGTATTTTAATAGAAAAGTAAGGTTCGGAGATTCAAAGTCGGAGATCTCGTATTGAGAAGGGCCGAAGCTTCAGGTCATACTCCGAGCAAACTTGGGTCGGTTTGGGAATAACCCTTTGAAATCATATGACAGCTTCCAGGAGGTGCATACAGTCTAAAGGATATTTCAGGAAGATCACTTCCAAGACCATGGAATGTTGAAGACTTAATAATATATTACAAGTAACTTGCTCTATCACGTTTTTTATACCAGACCTGTGAGCCAAGTCTATTTTTCATTTTTCAGGCCTACAAGCCAAGTCTATTTTTCATTAGTCAAGCCTGCGAGCCAAGTCTATTTTTCATTTTTCGAGCCGACATGCCAAGTCTATTTTAAAAATATATTACAATTAAAGTTAACTCTCAAGACATGATTACCTTAAAAAAGCCTTGCCCAATTTAAACACGTTTAAGCCTTAGCCCGAGCAAGTACTCCAAAGCCTTGCCCCGAGTAAGTACCCAAAAAGCCTTACCCCGTGCCAGCAAATCAAAGCCTTGCCCCGAACAAGCACTTCAAAGCCTTGTCCCATGAAAGTACCTAAAGCCGTACCCCACGCAAGCACTTAAAAGCCTTACCCTGAGCAAGCACTTCAAAGCTTTACCCGTGCAAGCACCTAAAAGCATTGCCCCTGAGCAAGTCTCTCCAAGCCTTGCCCCGTGCAAGCACTTCAAAGCCTTGCCCCCTATGCAAGCACCTAAAAACATTGTCTAAAGCAAGCACCTAAAAGGCACCATTCAAAGTGAATGCCCGAGCATAAGCGGCCTAAAACCCCATAAAAATCATAACAGCCAAGGGCTCAAAGATACTTTGCTTATATGCTAGTCTAGATTGGGCCCACTGATGTGTGGTCTAACCTATTGCAGCTGGATGACCTTAAGGTCGAGTTCAGTCATTTTCAAAGGAGTCAAGCTTAATTATTAAAAATAGGTGTTCTGTGCTCGGCCCTACTTCATATAAGGCCTCGGTTCAATTACTGGGCTAAGTTGCTTACGACGTTTTGATCGAGCTTATTACTTGGACTATAATTGTCATTTCATACAATTAGGTCTTGGAGATAAGTTTTCTATGTTGGGATCAACTTAATGGTCAAGCTAATTACTCTCAGTTTTACCTAACATAATGGTCAAATTAATTACTTTACGAACTATGAAAACTGTTCAGATAATCGTCGATTTTAATCTTCGCATAGTGGTCGGGCTACTTATTCTAACAACCATCAAGATTAAATAAATGTGATAGGCGTTGATCATATTACCAAAGTTCCCTCACATATGGTCGGGACCAATACTTAAGTAAACAAAATAAAATTGTTATGCATCCAAACAAAAAAGGCTCGCCATCTAAAGGTCGGGCATTGTACTTAGGAACAAATTATTTTACAACAGAAATAGCTCGGGGATGGGACCCTATTCTATGTCGTCAAACTTTGAAGCTTGACCAGTAATATCAACCTCATATTATTTACACTTTTGCTTGAGCTCCAACTTCGCGTTCTCGGCCTCACTTTTGCTGCAGCCACCTTCTCCCAAGCTTTTTGAGCCTCGGCATTCGCATTCTCGCGATCTTTCAATAATCTCTCATGCTTGGCCTGAAGATCATAAATCCTTTTGTCGTGGAGCTCGACGAATTCCACAAGCCCAGCTATTTATGGGACTCATCCATCCCTTGGAAGAATAGCCCTAGAGCAATGCTAAGGGTCTGCACACCTCAAATAACAGGTATAAGGTCGAGAAGTTAACTTGAAAAATTATCACGATAATAGATCGGGACTTACTTTTAATGTGAGCAGCTCGAGG